AACCAAGGCTGACTCTCCCACCACCCCTAAAGTGGAGGAAGCAGAGGCAGACTCTCCCACCACAACTAAGGTGAAGGAGACGACCCCTGCAGTCACTGAGGCTGACACCACCACCGTACAGAAGACAACACCTATTGAAGTGACAACTACTGTCCCTGGATTAGTAACAACTGCTAAAAAAGAGACAAGCACCCAGAGAGGTGAGGCGGTCCCAACAACTAGGAAGGAACCCCCCGTACCTGAAGCAGACGCAACGGTTTCAGAAACAACGGCAGAGACAACGACGACTTCTGCACCCAGCACAGCTGCAAAAGGCACCACTGCAGCGGTACAACGGACGGTGGTACCTGCAGCTAGGGCTACCGAGATCGTAACAATAACTGACAAAAAAGACAAACCAACAGCTAAGGCCGTTCCTACTCCTGTAACCAAAGGGCCAACAACTAAAATAGAAACAACCACAGTGATCAAAGAGATAACAACACCCAAGAAAGACAGAACTACTGTGCTTAAAGACATTTTAACATCACCAAGTAGGAAAGACACAACTACTGTAACTGTGGTGACACCAGCTAAACCAGCTGACTCTCCTCAAGGGAAGGACGATATTCCAAACACGATTCCCGCAGCCGAGCAAGCCGTCACTGCAGCAGCTGAATCGGAACCAACTACTGCGGGCAAAAATGCTGCAACAGCAGCTGTGGAAAAAGCAGTAACCCCAGCTAACCAAGACAAGACCCCCATAGCAAAAGAGACTTTAACAACTAAAAAGGAAGAGAGCCCGGTGGGAACAGCGACTGTAATAACAACAGCAGCTACAACTCCCATGGCCAAGCCCACTCCTAAACCCCGGGTGATTGTAACAACCACCAGAAGAGACACAACTATGGAAACTAAGCAGACTGTAACAGCATCAGCCAAAGACAGCACAAGCACTACTTGTGTTGTTGTAGAGACAACAACAGCTGGTAGAAAAGAGGTAACGGCCAAAGAAACTAGTGTCACACCTGAAAAAGAAATGGAAGATGCCACCGAAAAGGCCCCCAGTATTGACAGGGTAGAGGAAACCACAGTTACCAAAGAGACCTCCACAAGAGATAAAAAAGACACAATAGAAGAAATGTTTATTGTTTCTAAAGGGACATCCAAGCCAACTATACATTTCCAGGAGGTTACCGACACAAGAGATGAGCCTCAGCCAGCTGACCCTGAAGCTCTGCCAGCAGAAGAGCCCGAGATAAACAACAAGCCTTTAATACAGATTGCAGACTTGCCGAGTTTAACTGGAGAAACACAAGGTAATTGCCTTCCAGCAGGTACAAAAGCACCCGTGACTCCACCAGAGAGCACAACAAAGCACGCGAGTAAAGGACACGCGAGACCTTTCTATCTGCCGCCACAAGAACGTGGCACGGTGGTCAACCATAACCACGATGGTGCGGCTGCCAGCATCCTGAACACGGGTACCCCAGTTCCTGGTTGTGTCGTGACGGAAATTCTCCGCGTAGTTCAGAGCGTGACCTTGTTTCAGTAGTTGGTTTTGGTAATTGGTCTGGCCGAAAAACATTTGCTGTAAGTATTGTAGAAGGTACAAACAGAAAAGTCAGTGAAAGAGAAGATAAATTTCTAAGTCCCGTGAAAACATTGGTTGGGAGTCAGGCACCATTACTCACGGTACCTGAGCTGGTATTTGTAGTCACGTACAAAAAAAGTCCGGTAAGAGAGACAAGAAGTCTTTTCCTGGTATTCTCTTTGCTCTGTGCTTTTTGCCACATCATTGTTCATGTCCTCACTGTTTGTTTTAACCAGATCCAGCCCCAAGGTGCTTGGGCACTTTTTCTCAGTCGTGTACTGACTGATATTTTGTGGTGGAAAAAAGTTTTAAAGATGGAAAATACTGGGATTTTTGTCCAAAACAGATTCATCCTTCCTTTATATTTCACTGAAAGTAAATGAAAATGCTTTTTTAAGAAATAAGGAGGAGGAGGAGGATGACCTACTAGAGCAGCTTAGAGAAACATCAAGTAACCATCCCAGAACAGGAAAAAATTAAACGAGGGAGGTAGCACACGATGCATTTATAGATCTTTTTCTGACCTACAGGTAGTCAGGTAAGCGCTAAGTGAAGATATCCATACCTAGTCAGGTAAACGGCTGGTCTTGCACTCCCGGGACCAAAACACGAGGCCAAACTTTCCAAGAATGCGTCTCAAATGCGTAATTAAACGCTTCGCCAGGCAGAGCCCCGAAGGACAGGGAGCCCTGCGCGTCGCCTGAGACAAGCGACCGCAGTTAACAGCCCCAGCGCCACCGGCGCGGTTTTTGTTAAATGTCAAACGAACCCAAACCACTGTATTTTGCAGCGAAGAAGGACGAGAAGGACCTGTGCAGCGGGAAGCCGGCGGACGGCATGGTGGCCCTGCCGAACGGCACCCTGGCCGTCTTCCGAGGTAGGGGCAGGAGCTGCCTTACCCCCTCAGCTGCGTCCTGAGGGCAGGAGCGAGGGAAGGCGGGGGGGGCACGCC